ATGAGGCTTTGAAATTAAGCCGAAATCTAGATCGTGGTAATCTCTTATATATACTCACCCTCACCCTCAAGAATATATAAACTACCTGATGAGACTGTGAAATTCAGTCGAAACCGGTCGTAGTACTCTATTCCTTCAAACTCACCACTTGAACTTATAGAATCTCTGCTATTTGTAATAAAATAAGGGGATTTTTAATTAATATTGGAGGTTTTTCGACTTACCGATTTAATTGAGAATTTATTTGTTTTAATAACTGATGCAGAATATATAAACTACCTGATGAGACTGTGAAATTCAGTCGAAACCTGTCGTAGTACTCTATTCCTTCAAACTCACCCTCACTCTCACCCCACCCTCACAGCGAAAACATATCACAACAACAACCAAAACAATCAAACCATTGTCTAGTACTTCACCAAGACTAACAAGTACGAAAAAGTAGTACAACCGGATTCGCAAAAACTAGACCGGCTGAATCAACATGCCGAAGAAATCAAAATATAATTTCCTTGAATGTTAGCACGATATCAAAAACCCTTCGCATAAAGATTCACAACAAACCTGATGATGATCCCTTAAGCAAGGATCAAAATGCGTCGTAAGTAGCTTGGAACCTTCGTATATACTCACCTTAGAAGAATCCTCTGCGATACCTATTCGCATCTTAAAACTAGATCGCCAATGGAAGTCTTCCTTTGCTGCTGACTTTTATAACTTTCTATGTGTTTGGCATTCAATCAATGCGGTAGAATTATTTCCAAACATACCTGATGATGATCCCTTAAGCAAGGATCGAAACGCGTCGTATGATGCTTTGAATCATATATATAAACTCACCCTTTATATAATTACTATGATAATATAGTTTAAGGTACTCCTTTCGAATTTATTCTTTATGTTGGTGGTTTTTCAACTTCCATGTGAAAATAAATTTTGAATTTTTAAGGAGTCTTTTACTATCGATGTAGTATAGATTCGAAACATACCTGATGATGACTATCTAAGCAATAGTCGAAACGCGTCGTATGATCCTTTGAATCATATATATAAACTCACCCTCACCCTCACCCTCACCCTCACCCTCACCCTCACCCTCAC